TTGACACAAAAAGAGGTTTAGCTACCTAATGTCATGCTAGCTTGATCAACAAGTAAACAACAAAGATTTATGAACATCAAACTTGACGTCTCAAAGATTGATGTTGGAAAGCTTTGATTTTGGGAAAAAATGGTATTTTTCTCCACACAAGAGTTTTTCTAGGTTACAAGTATATTATAAAATTTAATAATGATCCTAAAATATCTAAAAATTGACTTAAAAATATGGCTTGTCCGCCATGCCTCACCGGGCGGCACACATGCTTCACCGGGCGAGATCCACTTAACAAGCCCACGTGAGAACAATAGTGCACGCAAGCCTCATAAAATATTTTGCCTCGTCGGGAAAGACCTATGTGTCACCGGGCGAGTCCTTCTCGCCGATTCTTTGTTGGGCGCTCCAACAGGCGACACCAAGACAATAGCTATTGGAATTTGAAATTTCTCTCGCCAGCTGCCTCGCCTCGCCTTCGTCGGGAGAGGCTTTTGGAACACAGACGGTGATCTTTCTCTGTTTCTTCAACTCTGAGATCGTATTACACTACGACTTATAAACAAAAAAATGCTGGAAAACTAACAAACTCATTAAAACATTCAAAGTAATTTACATTTAAGTAAAATGACTTAAAATAAGCTACTATCATAATCAAAAGCATATAAATAGCTTAAAAGTGTCAATATATTATATGGAAAATAACCAAAAGTTGACATTTAACAACTCTCGCCAACTTGCATCTTTGTTTGTCCCCAAATCAAAGATAAGATTTCAATGACAACAAGAAAAAACTCAAAAGCACAAAATCAACTGGAAGAAATTTGGATGGTTCAAACTCGACAATTACGCGCATAAGGTAACTTAATCACTTAGCAAGAATTATAAAACGAAAATGAATTAAGCTATAAACACAAACATCACATAATGCAAACTTTAGAAACGACATGTTCATGTATGAATCACCTAAATCACTCAACAAATTATGCATTATGCACAATATGTACAATGGACAAAAAACTTTCACTAGTAATCGTGGCACATCCAAAATAATTCATGCAATCATCTAAGCAAACTAAAAGAAAATTATAGAAACAAGATCACTAACTGATTTTAAGGTTGTAGCTTGGCTCAGGTTAAAAACATACGAAAATATGTATACGGTCAAAGAAACAAAATGGGTAAAATCATGAAGAGCATTTTGGTACAACTTCCACATTCTTTTCCATCATTCATTTCTTTTCTTACAATGCATCCTATCCTTTCTTTTTCAAGATTGATTCTCATTTCCTTCTTTTTTCTTTCTTTTTGTGTTATTCTTTTTTCTAACTTTTTGTGATATATTTCAAAGGATGCATTGTACCACCAACAAGAAAGCACAATTGGGTTAAGTGTTTACAAACAAGAAAATTTTGGATTGAATCAATATCAAATTTCTTTATGTTCAACAACAAAATTACTAAGGGATGTACTTAATAATTTGTTTTAAATTTTATTGATTCAATCACACAATTTTTAAGACTCAAAAGAGTTTCTAATATAAACTTACTACAAGGTGAATTGAAGCCTTTTAGAATGGTGGTTCTTCTCATAGTACAAAAAAATGTCTTGATCACTTCCTAATTTCTATAATTTCTAAAAGTAATGCACTATTAAACATGAATTAAACGAGTTAACAACAATTACTAGAACTCTTCAACTTTTGGTGAAAAATGGAAAGCTACTCACATATGTGGTTTTTGTCCTAATGATTCACACATGAACACATATTTACAAAATAATGCATAATATGATTGTTGCATAAAGGGTTATTTCATTATTGTGATATCATTCTACAAAGGGATTAAACAATACCTTCTTTGTACAACATTGAGACTTTTATCATGACCACCCAAATTGTTGAGTTGATGAAACCTCTTGAAAAGCTGAATCTGCTCCTTAAGCACTTAAGCCCAAAACTATTTACAAGGACAAACACAACAAAATCTCTGTGTACAAATAGCTATTAAATATTATACTACTACTTTTAAAATTTTAAAAAAACTTAATTAAAATAAAAGGTGTCTTTGGTGTACAACACCAAAAAAAAAACACCAAAGAGTACAACATCCAAACTAAAATATTATACAACACCCCAAAATAGATTGTTCAAACATAAACTTAAATAAATTCACTAAAACATCAAGATAAAACTGAAATAAATGACCAAAGCAAAAAAATATCTTCACTTTGTAACATCCATGATTTTGGTCATCTATACCCATTAGTCTCCTATTTCATCATCACCATCACCAACTTCCCACCTTCATCACCATCATCTACTGCTGCCCCTCCCCGACAATGGCACCATTTTGTTTAAACACTTTTACAGGGTAAACATTTAAATTATTGTTTTCCAGAGAGATTGGTGTGATATTACCGTGGTTCTACAATTAGAATTGTTTTAAACATAAATTTCATAAAAGATTTTGGTTTTGGGTTTAGTAACAGAAAGTTTTGAGTTCATTAGAAGTATATGTAAAAGAGAGTTTTATTTTAAACGGTTGATAAAAGCATGCCAAGATTAGGATTGATATTCTATTTCGTTCGTATTTTCTTAATAAAGCATGTGAACTCATTAACAGTCAATATAATAATTTATCTTCTCAATAAGTTTCATCTCTAAAAAAATTATGAGTTTTATCAAATTGATCCTTATATGATCTCTCTACCAAACTATCAATTTGATAACTTTAAAAGCTCAATATAAGTGAATATCAACTCACAAAACTATGTCTAGAAATTGTTTGTTGATAGATGAAAACCTAGGTCAAGAGTTGAACATATTTCTCATTAATGATCAAATCAAATATAAACCATAAAACAAGGATATTTCACCATATATTCATCATCACGTTGTTCATATACAAAATTTCAAGCTAAATACATACAAAAATGAGATTATCTACCACTAACCTTGATACAAAAGGGGTTTAGCTACCCAATGTTATAGTAGCTTGATCAACAAATAAACAACAAAGCTTTATGAACATCAAACTTGAAGTCTCAAGGATTGATATTGGAAAGCTTTGATTTTGATCAAAAATAGTTTTTTTCTCCACACAAGAGTTTTTCTAGGTTACAAGTCTATTAAAAAATTTAAGAATGATCCCAAAATATCTAAAAAGTGGCTTAAAAACATGGCATGTTCGGCTTACCTCGCTGGGCGGAACACATGTTTCATCGGGAGAGACCCATTTAACAAGCCCACGTGACAGGAACAACGCACATAAGCCTCAGAAAATATCTTGCCTCGCTGGGCGAGACCTATGCGTATCTGGGTGAGTTCTTCTTCTTGGTTCTTTGTTGGGCGCTCCAACAGGCGACACCAAGACAATAACTACTAGAATTTTTAATTTTTCTCACCAGCTGCCTCACCTTCATCGGGCGAGGCTTCCTTCACTCGCCTCCCTATCGCCGGGCGAGGCTTCTGGAACACAGATGCTGAGTTTTCTCTGTTTCTTCGACTCTGAGACAACATCAAACTACGAGTTTTGAACAAAAAATGCAGGAAAACTAACAAACACATTAAAACATTCAATCCTAATTTATACTTTTTCTTTCTATAAAGTTTCAACGAAGGTGGTACAAGATATTAGGAGGATCCAAAGTAGGTTTTTATGAAGGGTGAATTCAATCCTAATTTATACTTTTTCTTTCTATAAAGTTTCGACGAAGGTGGTACAAGATATTAGGAGTATCCAAAGTAGGCTTTTATGAAGGGGGTATAGAATAGAAGGATAATTCATTGGGTGAGTTGAAGTTAGAAGGGGGCCTTGGTATCAAGGATATAGAGGATTTGAATAAGGCAATCTTCTGACAAAATGGAAATGGGGGATTGTGTCAAAGGAGAATGCATTATGGAGTGGCTTTTTGAAAGACGCATTTCCTGAGGTGTTTGCGAAGGCAACCTTTCCCCTCATGAGTGTTGCTCAAGCCGGGAGTTGGTAGGAGGGTTGGTTGAGCTGGAACTTTAAGTCTATGCTGGTAAACATGGCTGACATAGACAATAACATTTTGGATGAGTTTCAGGCACCAATGCTTAACGTTGAAGTCAAGCAAGAGGAGTGGGATCTGTTTGTGTGGTCTAAGGAAATAGGGGGAGTTTTTTCGGCCAACTCATGCGTGATGTTGGAAGGCGTTTGTGAGGCATTGTCTCATCTTTGGAATATACAGGTACTGTCAAATGCTAAAGGGGTACGTTAGCAATCGTCTTTACTTTTTATTATATTTGACAATAATATCATTTATTTTTTAAAAAAGGATATGGTTCAATATCTTATAAGAAACTCTAAACTATCTAAGACGTATTTAATTCTCTTGAAAATAATATCATATAAAAATAGAACAGTTTATTTTATATCCTTCCTCCTTTAAAATCTATTTTTATTTTACCTTTAGTTATATCTGTCACTTTAAATATAAGAAATTAAGTCATTTCAAATCATGTGTTTCTGCTTAAATCACAATAAATTGTACTATATAATAACAAGACAATTTTCAAACAAGATTAGTTATACCATTAAAAATAATTGCTTATAATATTTATTCTCTAGGCATCTTATATAACAACCAACTTAGAGACAATAGCTAGAGAATAAATTCTCAATAACTCTAATTAAATTATTTTAAGTAAGATCTTGCTATATGACCATTTCCTCCTTTAGGGTAAAAGCCTCCGGGGACGGTTTCATTACCACTTCCATAGACAATCCTCAATATTTCTTTTGGAGTCCTTGAATATGCTAGTGAATATTTGTCACCAGCAAGAATGCTTCCAGAAGAAAATGTTTCATCAAGACCTTCATCTTTCACACCTTCATTTCCTAATTGATTCCTAAGTTTGGAAATGCGATCAGTGAACTCTCCCACGGTTACTCCATAAGGGTTCACCTTCCATGCACGACGTTCATATAACAATCCTCTTATAACCGCATCTTGACCCGACTCTACTCCTAGAAGACCTGCTACTAGCTGATACAATACATACAACATTATTAGCATAAAGTTTTTATAGTTTAAAGTTTATGGTTTAAGGTTTAAGTTTATGATACCTTTCTGGAAGCTGCATTTTGGAGGAGTGGATTTGCTCCAACATATCCGGTAAGACCAACATAAGGAATCAAATAAGATGCAATAAGATAGTTGATATCATTTGCATATGGATCAAAAGAAGGGCGCAGAGGTCGTCCAAAGGCTTTGTCAATCACCTTGGCAAATGAGGACTGACTTAGATCTAACAAAGGCCTAGAGAATCCTACCACTGTGTTCTTTATGGCCCTGCAATTAAGATTCATGCAACTTTAGTATTTTAGAATCTGAACACATGAAACTATATAAGATTTAAAAAGTAATAGAAAGAGAAACCTCAAATGTCCAACTTCTTGAAGAGCAAATTGATAGATGATATCTCTAATTACAGTATCATTGAATTTAGCCAACTTGGCACCAATAGGAGGTGGTCCACCCTCAGCTAACTCAGGAGCAATTTTATCCAAACCATGACCAGTCGATCCAAATAAAAAGAATTCAGCTTCCAAATACTCTAAATTAAGAGGAAATTCAAGAAGATTAACATCTGATAATATTGTTTCTGAGGTTGCACTTGAACATGCAATGAGGAAAGCAATCAAAACAACAATGGAGATGTAATGTGTTGCCATGTTTTAGACTTTTTCTTATGAGGATGATAAATATGTTACTCTATCATAATGCTTTTATATACTAATTGAGAGTTATTTGATTCACTGTATTGAGACTCTCAAATCATAGTTATTGACTATAAATTAGAAATAATGTTAATAACATTATTAATTCATGATTTTTTCAATATAAAATTTAATATATTTAACTAAAATATATTTATGTTAATTATTTTTTTACCTAAAATACGCAAAATAATAATTTGTAAAAATAGAAAAATGACATTTAATGTTAACTATTTGTAGATTTTCTTGTTATTTTATATGTCTTTTTGGATATTTTATTATCCTCACTTTATATATGTACTCATAATCTTTTAATTATCAAGTTTAATTTTTTAACTAAAATGCCTAAATGATAATTTTTTTACTTAAAATGACAATTTTGTAAAAGGAAAATAGAAAAATAACATTTAATGTTAAGTATTTTGTGCATTTTTTAAAATTATTATATATGTATCATCTTTTAATAATTTTGAATATATATATATATATATATATATATATATATATATATATATATATATATATATATATATATATATATATATATATATATATATATATATATATATATATATATATATATATATATATATATATATATATATATATATATATATATATATATATATATATATATATATATATATATATATATATATATATATATATATATATATATATATATATATATATATATATATATATTACTTTGCCATTTAAAAAATTAAGTAACTATATGATAATTCTTGTTATATATAAATTAAACTATCTTTGGATTGTAGTGACTCAAAATATATAAACTTTTAACTCTAAATGAAAGTTTATATTAACAATGTTAATGGAAGTTTTGAAGATTTTAATTTAGACTTTTTCTTATGATGATGATAAATATGTCACTGTGAATATAATTAATAATTTAAACTAAAAAAGAATATTTTAGAATAATTTTCTCAAAAAATAAAAAGCTTATAGTTTAAGTCACAATATACAATGAACCAAAGGATTGTTAATAAGCATATTGTGGCATATTCATCATCATCATAAGAAAAATGTATAAAACATATATTTAGTATTTTATAAAAATCTTTAAAATTTTCATTAATGTTAATATAAGTTATAATTTATAGTAAAAAATCATATTTTTAGTGTCACAATACAATCAACCCAAAGGTTATTAATTTGTATATAAAAATTAATTATCTTTTGGTTTATTGTAACTAGTTTTAGACCCGTGGAATCCACGAGTTAAATTATAGTGAAAAAATTATAACATTATTATTCATTAATTCAATTTTTGGATATATAAATTATTTATTAAACAAAAAATTATTGTGACAGTTTAAATATCAAATGAAAACAAAGTAAAACATCAAAATTAATATAAATCAAATATTTATTGTTGACATCTAAATTTGATTGTTAAATGAGTAATTAATTCATGTATTCAAAATTTGAAATATCAAATGCCAAAGAGTACGAGTATATTGGTCGACATGAATATGATAATGTCTTAATGTTATCAATTGTAACTTTATTTATTTTTTGGAAATAATTTATATTTTAACAATGTCTTATTGATTAAGTTTGTTAGAGAGTATTTTAGTATTTTATTATCTCCTAATATTTATGTATAAATAATTTAATATTAGGTAAGTCAATGTATTTAGTACTCCTTATTTTGTAGCCGTCATTTAATATATTATTTTTGTTTTTCCATCTCTCCTTTGTGCACCAACAATTAGTATCTAGAGTTTCGGTTTGAAATCCACGGGAAAACACGGAAAATACAAGTGAACATTGAGGTGTTATGTGATTGAGAATCACATTTTTCTGATTTTGTAGAATTTGGGAAACACTGTGTGTTAATGAGTTTTTGAGTGATCTGCATAAGGTTGAAGATGAACGAAAAGAGCGATATCAATTCCAAGCTTCCAGTGTTTGATGGAAAAAACTAGAATCGTTGGAAGATTTAGATGCGTGTGTTGTTCGATTCTCAAGATGTCTTAGATCTTATCACCGATGGCCATGCTTCATATTCAGCTGACGCGGCGGAGGCACATAAGACAACGCAAAAGGCGATAAGGTAGAAAGATCAGAAAGTGTTGTTTTACATCCATCAGTGGGTGGATGCGAATGTGTTTGAGAAGATTGTTGACTCTGAAACAACAAAGGTTGCGTAGCACACACTGGTCAGATGTTACGGTGGTGACACATCAGTGAAGAAGGTGAAACTTCATTCCCTAAGAAAGCAATATGAGAATCTCAACATGAAGGACAACGAGAAGGTTTCTGAGTACATCTCTAGAGTGTTTATGATCACTAATGAGATGAAAGCTTGTGGATAAACCCTTTCTGAACAAGTAATCATAAGGAAGGTATTGAGATCTTTAACTTCTCAGCTTGATTACATTGTTGTAGCAATTGAATATTCCAAAGATCTGAGCACCATGAGAGTTGAAGAGCTGTAAAGTAGTCTAGAGGCACATGAGTTGCGTATGACTAAGAGAAATTTTGAGAGGGAAGTAGATCAACAGGCTCTGAAAGCAACTTCTGGTAAGAAGTATCAGAAGCAGACTTGGTCAGAAGCCAGGAAGAAAACTAATAGTGGTCAGAGGTCAGAAGCTTCAACCTCTAATAGGAAAAAGAATGTCAAGAAGGGAAAGGAGAAGTCTGACAAGAAGAATGTTCAGTGTTATTGTTGCAAGAACTTTGATCATTATTCCAAAGATTGCTGGTCAAACAAAGAAAGGAAGTCAAAAGAAGTAAATATAGCCAGAGGAGAGTCTGATGATGAACCTGTGCTATTGTTGGCTTCTGACTCTAATGATATGAATTCATCAGAATGGTGATATATAGACACACGGTGTTTAAACCATCTTACTGGAAACAATAAATGGTTGGTTGATTTTGACTCTGGAAAGAGTATAAAGATCAGATGTGTTGATGATAAATACCTCAATGTAGAAGGTATGAGAAATTTCAGAGTTCTTCTAAACAATGGGAAAGCAGCATTTATCCATAATGTGAGGTATGTACATGGCATGAAAAGAAATCTGATAAGCGTGGGACAACTGATTGAGAAAGGTTTTTAATTTACCATGAAAGACAATATTCTAAAGTTGTATGACTGTAATTAGAAGATGATTATGGAGTCAGAACATGGAAGGAAGAGAACATTCAAGGTGAATGTTAGAACTGTAGACTCTGAATGTCTTAGTGCAACAAGTGTTGTCAAGGAGAGTGAGTTATGGCACATAAGATTTGGTCATGTGAATTTTAGAAGCTTAGGGCATCTGAAATGGAAGAAGCTGGTACATAGAATTCCTATAATCAAGAAGCCTGAGAAGTCATGTAAGGTGTGCATGGAAGGGAAACAACCAAGATTGCCATTTGCGTCAAAAGTAGCTCTAAGAGTAAAGTATGCCTTGAGAGTAGTGCATTCTAATGTGTGTGGTCCTTTTCCAGTAGCATCGATTGGAGAAAATAAATACTTTGTGTCATTTATTGATGAGTTCTCTAGAATGACATGGGAATCTCTCATAACGTTCAAACATGAGGTGGAGCACTTCGGGGATGCCCGAGCCCGATCTGGTCATGCCAGAGCTGATCGAGGTGGGGGACAATACGCCCGCTGCTCAGGACGCGCCCGTGATTCAGGCGGATCCCTTAGCTTGGGTCGCACCTAATCCTTTGAAGTGGGTTTCTTATTTTTGTGAGCATTCAGACGAAGTGTTTACCGCGGTGGATACAAGTATGGATGTAGAGGGCGTCGAGGAGGAGTAGGTCGTATATATTCCTAATCCGGATCACCAGGTATGTTCGGAATTTGAGCAGGATCACATTCCTATGTGCGAGATTCCATTTAGAGAGATGGGTTTTAGGCTTCCTTTTAATGACCTTCAGGTGGCCGTTTTTCGACATCTTCTCCTTGCTCTTTCGCAATTGCATCCTAATTTGATTGTGTTCTTGTGGGCTTTAGAGACTGTGTTTGATCATCTATAAATAAGGGTTATCGTTCCTATATTCTTCTATTGCTTCCTCCTCCAATGGGGTGCTCAAGATGGTCGATTCGTGTGGGTCTCCCTCAAGCAGGCGAACAAAAAGCTGTTTAAAGCTTACCTGGAGTCTGTCCGAGATTTCAAGCCGAGGTACGTGCTGGTTCAGCCTTTGTCAGAGAGGGCGTTGCTGAACATATTTAGGAGCGCTCAACTAGTCGATGAGATCGAGAAACCTCAGCTAAACGAGGAAAGGAATCTGATGGTGAAGGTGGTGCCAAAGTTTCTCTTTCATTGGTCGAAGAAACATTATGATGATGGGACCGACCATTATATATGGAAGAAGGACCAGTTGGGTGAAGAGGATCAGGCTAGCTATGATCGTCTGACGACCTTTATCGCGGGCATCCCCCATGTCCAGCGTGTGGGTAGAGGAGGAATGCTTGTTGTCGATGAGGACGAGAAAGTGATCTGTGAGCCCGACTTGATAGGTGTTAAGGAGCTCCTCGAGAGCGAGGATCCTATAGGGTTCTTGGGTAGTTATATTATATTTTGATTAAATTTATGTTCTTGAATTACTGTTCCTATTTACTGAACCAAATTCTATTGTTTCTTGCAGAAAGAATGAATCTCGCTGCTGAACGCATGGCTAGGACCGTTCTTCTAGCCTCGAAGAAGGAACAAAAGTCTGTCAGACCCTCTCCAGGTGATACGGGGACAATTATGCAGTCGGGTTCGGGCACGTCATCGTCTGGACCAACGGTCGTGGCTTTCTCTCCTCAGAAGGTGTCTTTAAGGTTTAAATGGCAATGCCAGGATGACACAATAGATCTGACGGGCGAGAAGGAGAAGGGGTGGTTCGATCTGCCTCCTTGCCGGCTTAACATGACTTTCTTTGAAGGAGCTTCTATGCACCTCCCCTGAGTTGAGTCACTATTCATTGAGGAACTGGATCTTTTG